AACAACAGGGTTCTTATCTTTAACCCATAACCTGGAAGCATCTTTGTGAGTGGCTACTGAGCCAGTGGTGAAGATTTCAGCATACTGGTGCCACATTTCTGATTTGATTTGGTTAAGCGAATGTGCTTTAGAATCTTTGCAACAATCGACTAGTAGCTTCATCAGCTCAATATAGTCACCATATTCAAGCTGCAAAGATGTGTCTGACGGAAGAGCATCATATAATATGGGCTGGACAGATTTCTCAGCTGACGCAGACCGAAGAAAGTAAACATTTGTTTTAGAATCGGCATTTCTGAATGGTCGCGTATTACATGCATCGGTTTTTATACCTTCCATGTACCTTTGAATTAACTCAGCATCACTACGAGTACAGTTTGCGGAGTAGTAAGTTGTTATTTCAGTTGTACCGAATCCAAGGCGTAAACGACGGGAGCTTAATGAATATATTGCAGGAGCCACTTCTTCCTACAAAGCTTTGAAACTTGTCTCTGGATTAGAAAATGCGCTATTCAGTGATAGGAGCTCCGTTACTCTACTCAAAGTTATAGCTGGAACGAACTTGGTAGCTTCAAAAGACAAGTAATTTCCAAAGTTACCTAGAACTGATGCAAGGTACGATAGCAAGTGGTTTATCTCCTCAGAAATGCTCTTCTGTTTTGCTTCTTCAGTGAACAAATGCACATCTTGGGACCTGGAGAATCGATAAACAGATAGAAATATTCCAGCAGATTCTGGGGATGTTTGAATTAAACCAATCAGACCACCAACCCATGGTGCTTGTGTGTAGCTGAAGATATAATCTTCTTCACTTTTACTAAGTGAACGGAATACATCGGTTACGTCAAGACAGTGAAAAGGAGATGGGACATTTACGTAGAAGTCCATAATACGGGAAAGAACAGGTTGCTTTGATGTTCTCAATAAACTAACAGTACTTAAGTAACGTGCTGCCGGCCGGAAGGTGAACTGAAGTGTATAGAGGTAAACCATGCAACAGATCACAAGAGTAAAACTGTGACGGTGTGGCAAGTGCCAAACCTGTCCATTAACGTGATCTTGTTCGTCCATTTTGGCGAAATCTCTTTCAACATATTGAGACATTACATTGATATACTCTTTATAATAATAATAGTATATTCTCCTTTTGTACATGAGAGACGCCAGTTTACAGGCATCATCAATATGATAAATTACATATACGATTAGCAATCATAATTAATAATAATGTTTTAATAAAATACACATTTTTTCCTACTTGTGTAGGACACACCAAATATACAGGCATGGATAAGCATTATATAAATTTCATAAATTTGGTTTATGGTTAAGTTACATGGTTGCTGGCGTTTTTGTCTTAGGTCTGTGGGAACAATATGATAACCAGTCATTCAATGGAGCACGTCATGAAATATAGGAATATTAACTTCGCATTAACAAAAAAACCCAAGTAAGTTTTGGATGGATTAAAAATACTTGGGAAAAAATAAAGCTTGAAGTAATTCCTCAATATAACTTGGGTGTGTACAAATCCGAATCTTATTTTTGATTTGATTTATATCCAAATTGGGTAATAAGGAAGCTATTTTTACAGATACGATCAGTTATGTTATAAGCTACAATCGTGACGTTGTATTACAAATAGATACTTTTCCATTGGTATAAGAGTATATTCCACAAATGTAATCCAGGTTGCGTCGTGGAGAAAGTTAATTCGTTATTAACCAGGCAACTGAAAGATACTGGACCAATAATGTTTGCAGATCATTTGTCATTGTAAATGGTCAAATATCCACATTATTCATTCTCATTCAAAAAGTCAAATGGAAGCTGAAATGGTGAGAGAAAAAAGAAGACAAACAACAGCAACGCAAAAGAAAGCAACGGGAGTCCTTAAGGAGTGATTAATAAATATATACATATATATTCTGTTTAGTAACTGTGGTTATTTTGGTACACAAACTAACTAGTCCCGTTATGCTAACTTTTATATTATGTGTAAACTAATATTATTACTGTCCTGTGTAGAAATGTTAATCATCTAGTTCCAATAATATTAAAATTTATAATTGTAGTTTGTTGTAACTACACGTTTAAAGAACTTAAAATATCTATGTAGGGTGAAAAAGAAGGTGTAAGAGTCAGGCGCAAAAGTGCATTGTCATCTTTGAGTAGTCTGGTGACTGAGGAGATGAACACTGGAAGTGTGTTTGCATCGCGCACATTAGCTGGTAGTCTATTCCAAATGACTGAAAACTTATTTAAGAAGAAGTTGTACCGCACGTAAGTCTGACAGTGCTCCATAGCAGCTAGGTTGTGATGATTTCTAAGATTGTAACTGATGACAGCGGTAGGTTTAGTTATTGGCTCGGAGGAATGCAAGAGAAGATTAGTTAGCTTATAGTAAAAGATAAGGTTTAGCTTAAGGCGTCTTTTCCAGAGGGGTTCTAATCTTAGTCTTACGCATCGCTCATGGTATTCCAGACCACTTTCTAAACCAAGAGTTCTTGAGGTAAACTGCCGTTGCACTCCCTCTAATTTAAGCTTGTCATTTTGTCTTAGTCCGCTAAGAATAAACGGGCAGTATTCTAAGATAGGTCGGACACATACTTTGTATAATAAAACCCTAGTTTCACAACAAAAGAAATTGCGTGTTATGCATCCTATCAGCCTTCGCGTTTTACGTCTGGCATAATCAGTCTGTTCAGCGAACGTTAGGTTACTAGAGTATCTAATACCGAGATCTACGACTGAGTTGAGCTTAGCTAGTTTTCGCCCATTTATTTCAAGAGTTAGATCAAGGTTACTGTTGCCAATACAAATCCAGCCGCATTTGTCAATGTTAAAATTTAGACAGGATTCAGCACACCATGTTGCGAGGCTACTTAGTTCAAGATGTATTTTAGTAACCATATCGCTTAATTCATGAGTGTAGCAGGAGTAGACGACTTTGAGGTCGTCAGCATATAGGAATGGTTTGCCTAAGGTGAAGCACTTGCAAATGCTGTTAATGTAGATTGTGAATAAAAGTGGACCTAGGACACTACCTTGCACGACCCCACTTGAGATCTGCCTAGGATGAGACAATACAGATCCAACTTTGGTTATTTGTACCCTGTTGCTTAGAAATGATTTTAACCAGTTCAGTAATGGGTTGCGAATTCCACAAGAGTACAGCTTCTCAAAGAGAATACTGTGAGATACCATGTCAAATGCCCTAGATATATCGAAGTAGAGAACAACGACTAGCTTACGTGCTTCGCGACTACTAGTGATGCAGTTGAAAAAGTCGAAGTGGCAAGTAACGCAGGATCTATTTTTGAGAAATCCGTGTTGAGACCTTGTAACAAGATCTTCCCTAATTAGGTAGTCTGACAATTGATCTTTTACAACTTTCTCCATGATTCGTGAGATAACTGGGGTTATATTTATGGGTCTGTAATTGCGGACGTTTGCCCTATCACCAGATTTGTAATGTGGAATTATGAAGCTAGTTTTCCACTCACTAGGGTAAGTGCCAGTGTCCATAGATATTGAGAAGAATTTAAGAAGTAACAGGGGTATATCACACCCACTGTTTTTGAAAATTATCGAAGCGAGGCCATCCGGTCCCGTACTAGTGGAAGGTTTAAGGCTTTTAATTGCTTGTACTATTAACTGATTAGTGAACACAATGCTTTCAAGGGAAGAGATAGTAAGGGGAGCGGTTTCACCAGGCATATGTGTTTCTAAACTAAAGTTTGCAAACCAATCACTGAAGAGTTCACAGATAGTGGCAGGTTCATTGTAGATTACTTTGTCGTGAAGTAAGTATGGGATTTCCCTCGCCGACTGCATTCGTTTTTTAAGAAGTGCCGTTAAGTTATAAACTTTGGAGGTACTTTCAAGTGCCGTTAACTCTTCGTCGAGGTCCTTTTGAGAGCGTAGGCGCTTGAGAGATTCAAGAGACTCGTGGATTGAGAGCAATAGTGATATGTCCTTAGTGGAATAGTACTGTTTCTTCAGTTTCCTTAACTTATTACGGTGTGCCCTTGGAATATATTCAGTTCGGTGTCTACTTAATTTCACTATTTTCTTTGGAGCAACTGTATCTAGACAAAGGGTAACATTCCTGTAAAACAGGGTTACTAAGGCCTCCAGGGAGTCAGTGGTAAAATAGTCATCCCATTGACAGAGTCGAATAAGTTCTTGGACTAATCCCCAGTCTGTATATTTGTAACTACGACATATTGTGCTTCCTGAGTCTTGTTTGTTTCCTGTATTTAGTGGTGAGAAAGGCAGAGAGCAGAGTACCATTCTATGGTCACTACTGGAAAATCTATTACCAACATACGTGGATACTGGGATTGTGTCATGACAAAAAACAAGGTCCAACATGTTGTCACCACGAGTAGGTGTCTGGACGTGTTGTTGCCATCCATAACAGTCTATAGTGGCAAGTAATTCGTCGAAGCGTTGGGGGCCGGAACTAGTTAGCCAATTGACTTCTGGAAGATTGAAGTCCCCTGCAATTATTTTGTAATTAGCACTAAACGAGGATGCGTGTGCAAACGATTTAGCTAATAACGCATCAGTTTCTTTTGTTGAGCTTGGTGCTCGATAAACACAGCCTATGAGAAGTTTGTACTTATCTCCATGTAAGACAACCCAGAGTGAGTCAGGTACATTATTCATTGTTTCATCTTCCACCTTACTGACTACAAATGAGCTATGTATATATATGAGACATCCTCCACCACGCTTGCAATCTCTGTTTGCACGGTGTACAGTGTAATCATCGATACCTATATGCACATCAAGTACAGAGGATGAGCACCATGATTCAGTAATCAGAGCTACAGTAGGCTTGGCGACTAATAATAATGTCCTTAGTTCAGATATCTTATTGATTAAGGAACGTGCATTAATTAGCAATATCGTGAATAAGTCACGGGATACTACAAACTGGCTTAAAATGTCACCATAACCTAAATCTATTTGTGCGTCAGCACCGCAAGAATTTATGAATGAAAAGGAGGTCGGACTGGGTGTCTGTACATCGGGGTTGGAGTGCAATGAGGTGGTCCTAGGTGCCATGGGTCGTACCAGTGATTCGGGACACCTGGAAAATTTACCATGTGTTCCTGGATATAAGGGTAGTACAGGTTGGGCCTAGGTTGACGGTTAAAAGGCATAGCATCAGAAGGTCTACCCATCCAACTGCTATTCGTCATACCGGTATACACCTTCGGGTTGTTTTTATAACTTAAAGGGAATTGTGAAGGAAGGTGCTTTGGCTGCAAGACTTTAGGAGTCTTGGAGCCTGACTTTCTATAAGGTGGAGCATGCGGAACACCTCCAGATATACTTATGTTTCGAGAGGAGTTTTTCGTAACAAGTGATGGTTTGTTGGCATTCTTACTCTCAGCAGGCTTATTGAATACAAAGTATTCTTCCCCATCATTAGTCTCAACCCTGCGAAATTTGTTCATCGTGGTGAGGTTACTACGTTTGGGGGGAAATTTCTTAGAACAACTTGCAGAAGTTCTAGTCATTTTAACATCTTTCGATGAGGCTTTATTTACAGGGGTACTGGTATCTAAATCAGTTCCTAGTTCCATTGGCAGGTGTGGTTGTTGTGTAGTTTGCTGAATGCTAGTTTCAGCACTAGGTGTCTGTTGCTGTGCACGATCCTTATTTGGTAAATCTAAGCTAGAGGAGGTGACCAGGTTATTACTACGCATTATTCTGCGCTGACACGGTGTTTTATCCTGAGCTACGGTTATAGACTTATAACTGCTATTCAGTCTTAAGTGATCCTGACATTTAGTAAACTTACTAGCATCAAGGGAATTACTGAATTTAAAAATGATTGGGCAATTAGCCTGGTTAGACTTTTTACGAAGTCGTTTGCATTCACATGGAACACTAGCCATGCCGCAACAAATCAGGATTTTGTGTCTTACAGTTTTCAGGGGCAGAGAATCTGGGACGTTGTAAACTATAGCTTGGTGAGAAGAGGTTATACGCTTCATCACCTCCGTAGCCAAGCAGTCAATCAGATTTTCAGCTTTATTTAGGTTGTCTGGAGATATTTTAGGATGCCTTTCTAAAAGACAGGCTATTGGGTCTAAATTCAAAAGCTTATTTTGAGTTACATCCAGTAAACACTTAACCTGACCAATATCAGACGGCTCTCCGTGGTATTTGAGATTGGCAGTGACATACTATCAAACTGATCTAATTTTTTCTGAATTTCACTTACTTGCCTCTGCATATCTTTCAAAAGGAGGTTTAGTTTACAGAACTCAGAGTTCTCTAACAGAACATCTTTCACCTGTATCACAGGAGTGAGATCTGCACTCAAACCATTTTGAGAGCTAGTAGTTGATACTGTATTACCAGGCGGTAATGCAGTTATAACCGAATTTAAGCCACTATCTAAAACAATTGTGTTTCTACGAACACGTTTTTTAGAGATTTGGACCATAATTTCAAGAATTATATGACAATAAGCAGTAAATAAATTTCAGAGCAAACACGTGCAAAAATGTCACCAATTTCGAACGTACCGCCAATGGATGCAGGTCTGAGTCTTGATAGAGGCGTTTCCTCAACGAATTGAGTCTATTCACTGCCAGTTTTTTATCATTAGGTGAATTATGTTGTCGACACCATTGAAGTGCTATGTGATAATATCTATCAACCAACTGTCTGGACTATAACATAATACTCAAAGCCTTACGGTCTTCAACAGACCTTGACACTTGACCACTCACATCATCAAACTCATTCTTATAGAATCGTTCAAACATAGTCTCAAATTTTCTGTGGCTAGGATATGATTGATGATGTTAGTTTCACCAGAGGTCTTTCTGTATGGTCCCAGCAATGTCCATCCCATAGGAGTCTTTATGGCACAAGGTTCGTTAGCTCCACCAAGCCTTTTATCGATCGTTATGTGCGCTTCTGGCATGTTGCAACCAATAAGCATCTTAATTTCTTCATTCTTAACCTTCGGTAAAATTTTCCGTCTAGGTGACTCCATGAGGCCATCTGATCTGCTGTTGGTACAACCCTTTGTAACCGTGGCAAGTTCTGTACTGTCCATGCTTTGGAAACAGAAAGGTGAAGGGACGAATCCAACGGGGAGACTTCTAGTTGCACCTGTTTGCAAGATAAAGTGGACTGTGAACCAAGCGTCTTAAGGGAGACTATCTTAGTTGCTCCTGCTAAACCTAATTCTCTTGCTAGATCTTCTGTGACCAATGTTGCGTCTGAAACGCTATCCAAAAACGCACAGGTTTGAACAACGCTATCATTATTTCTGGCTAAATCGGGCACTATGGCGAATGCTGTCTCACTTTTCGAAGTCTTCTGCAAAGTCAAACCACTGCGCTGTCGACTGTTGATATGCGCATCATTTTTTACATCGTCGGATAATCCCTGGCTTCTGTGGAGCAATGTATGGTGTCGCCAACCACAACCTTTACCTGCACAGGACCTCGAAGAACGAGAATTATTTGCTACATGATTTGCCCTTAAACAAACGCTGCATAGTTTTCTCTTGGAAACAAATGCCAGACGTTCATTGAGGTCTTTATCTTCAAAACTTCAAACACTGATCTAAGAAATGTCCTGCCGATCATAATAAACAGGGTGGGACAAATGAGCGTGACACATTAGTAAGATCATCGTTCGATATTTTGACATTACTGTCTGAGAGCCGGGTGACAAACACTCGATGTTTAGAATCAGAGTTTTTCTTCGTAGGGTTGTCAGCCAACTCTCGGAAACTGTGAATGTCCAGTTCTCACTACGATGGACCTCACGCTGTCCCTCGAAAACTTTCAGAAACACTTTGTATTAACCAACGCAAAAACCAGAACACTGATTGGCGAGTAGAGAATCCTTTATTCTTACGCCAACACGTACCCAACAATAAGGCTATTACACAAGATCTAAGAATAAATATTACAACAATAAATAATGATAATACTTCTGATGGTTTTTTATCTTCCCTGAACAGCGAACCATGAGACGATGACAGCAATATCGATGACTCCGGCGAAAAAATATGGAAGAGTTGAGTTTGAGCAAACAACCATGAATGTATGGTTCAGCCTTCAACTACACTGACAACAGCCTGAATAGAAACATTCATTCTCAATCATTGATTCCACAGCTAATCATTATCTCCGTGTTCACGTCATTCTCAGCACTGGCCTCCCCGGCGTATACGACCCATCTGCTGTCCTTAACATCAGTCAATTCATTCACGGATGTAGAAGACTCGAAATAGTTTCAGAAGTAAGCACGACGAAAATTTTAACAAAATTGTGCAAAACAACAAGGTACGAAAACAACGAGTAAACACAATGAATCCAAGAAACACCAAATGATATGACACTCCACACATATGCAAACAGTACACATAACCTCGCAGGTCATGTCTTGATGTAATTCCTTTGAAGAATCGCATAACTTACACCAGCACGCCTGCAACCCTTCACAGGTTGATGACTGTAAGTTGTGGAATGTCCGGACACAAACAAGATTAACCAACAATTACATTAATTGGAACCGACTCAATTGATTAACACAAACACATTGACAAGCAATACATCAAATGTTGTGGATTCTTCCTTGAAGAACTACACTTGAAGAACTGTAGGACTTACAGCACTACGCCTACATTCCTTCTCAGGTTGACGATCCAAGTGGAAGTCGTCCGGACACAAACAGAATTACCAACGGATAGATGAGAGATGATACCAATTCAGTATATATAACATGAACATATGTACAAAATAATACACCAAGTAAGATGGACTGCGCTTCGATGTACTACCGTTTGAAGAATTGTAGGACTCACAGCAGTACGCCTTAAACCCTTCTCAGATTGACGCCTTCTTGTCTATTCGGTGCACAACCGTACCCTGCAGAGAATAAGAGTAGAATAAGTCGAATCAAATTCATGTAGAGCTACAAAATGTTAGGTTTAATGGAATATAATGAGGATCGAGTAAGGACGTTATTAGAAAATGAATGAGATAAGACATTGTGAAGTGGTATTTAAAGATCTGACAATGGATAGCAAGTTAATTTATAAGATGCCCCATAAATCTGTGCAGAGTCCACGTGGTCGCATCTCAACAATAGGCTGAGCGAATGGTATATATTTAAAGGCAGAAGCATGATCTGTCTAGGCGTACATTATTACCTTTTTCAAGATAAAGATCTTAGCCCTCATAAAAATCAGAAAAATCTCGAGCCGTCAAATTGCATATTGCTGTTCCTGCAGAATGGGGTGATTCACCTTAGTGACCACCACCATATCTACTGATCAGCTAGCACCACCCTCCCTCCTGTTCTGATGTGAGGCTCTGAGACTATGATTATTATGGCTACCGCAAATATATTGCTTGGTACCAGACATGTTCGTACCTCATATTCCATCTCCCTAGCTTTCTTAATGAGTGCTTCCAATAGGTCTCCACATACATCTTTATGAACATATATATGTATGCATGCGTCCTAACGAACAGATTACTTTATAAGAAGTTAAAACCTTAAAGAGTGAAAAGAATAGGTTTTGTGAATAGTGGAGCAAGATTCAGCAGAACACTATAGTTAGAGTCTAATGTAGGTAGTATGAACTGAAGGTAAGGTCGGTTGGCAGGACTTAGTGTACTAAATTATCATGACAGTCTTGTATATAGTAAACATTTGACATTGCAAAGTAACCTGTCTACACATATTATAAAATGATATTAACAGTGAACCAACAAAACGTTAGCATTTGGTTGACAATACTGCAAAAGGGAAGTTAGTCTTACAGGTAGCCGTAAAGTAAATCAATCTATATATGATAAGAGTATAATCAATGTTATAATTCCTCTTATGGAAGAATACATAAGGCTCAATAACTGTGTGTTATAAGGAAAGCAAGCCTGGTAAACCAAGATAACATTTGCTGCCTAAATATCATAATCATTTTAAGTATTTAATAACAATCTAATTTCAAGTATTGAACATGCATAATTACTAAGCATTATTATGTTAGTCTAGGAACTAGTGTACTTTCTGTAGTTAAATATTTAAGTGCCACTGTTTCACCACTATACCAGCATTTGAGATCTTTTAGACGGGCTAGGCTGGGCATGTTGATATGTTTTTCTAGGCTCCTTTTGAGACTATCTGGCCTTTCACAGGATCTAATCTCAGAGGGTAGTCGGTTCCAAAGTTTGCAATATTTAATGGCGAAGAAGTTAGCTCTAGTGGCGAGTTTATGGGTGTTAACCTTAAGAAGGTAGTCATGGTTTCGTAGTCAATACGATTTAGGACTAGCCCACGTTATGGATGAGTTACCGTTACAGTGCTTTCTTATAACTGTAAATAAGAGAAATTTTTTATTATTATTTATTTCTGGAACAGAACCAGCCATTTTTACAGGCATGAACATATGTACACTTATTAAAACTTATCGAATATGTAATATGATTTGTTAATTTATAAATAAGCTGAATACTGGTAAATGTGAGAGAAACATTTAAAATTAAGTGTACAAGTAAGGAAGTAGATATGGCGTCAAATCTAAACCGTGATTGAAAAAAATACTTGTCAATTTCACGCGGGAATAATAGATGATTGCGTTAGTTGGGGTAGGTAAGTAGCATTTCTGTACAGGTGCTGATGTGATAAATAAGAGATGCATAATAAAGAACAAATTGCACTTCACTCTCCTTAACCATAAGGGTTCTAAGTCCAGTCGAATACATCTGTCAAGGTATTCTATTTGCTGATCATAGCCTAATATGCGTTTCGTGAGGAGTCTTTGGACGCCTTCAACTTTTTTCTGTCTACTGATTTAAAGCTACTGCATAAGTGGGCACAGTATTCAAGTTTGGGGCGAATGGATATCTTGCATATAGCTAGTTTGGCTTCTGGAGTGTAAAAGTTGCGTAGCACAAAGCCGGTTAGACGTTTACAATCAGATACTACCTTATTTACATGTTCAGTAAAAGTAAGATCTGAGTATGTTATCCCGAGATCTGTGACTGTGTTCGTGTTTGAGACAAGGTCACCGTACATGTATAGACACATGCTAGGTTTCCAACGTCCGAAGTATGTTATCCAAGGCTTAGCTAGATTGAACGTTAACTGCCACTTTTCACTCCGATTACATGGACTATTTAGGTCTTCTTGGATTTTACTAGCAATATTCATATCATAATAGCTGAAATCATAGACAACTTTGAGGTCATCTGCAGAGAGGTATGGCTTGCCATACTTGATCATAGAGGCAATATTTTTTCCCAAGTATTTGTAATCCATCCAAAACATACCTGGGTTTTTTCGTTAATGCGAAGTCAATATTTCTTTAATTTTTGATGTGCTCCATTGAATGACTGGCTATCATACTGTTGCCACAAACCAAAGACAAAAACGTCAGAAGCCACGTAATTTAGCCATAAACCAAATTTATGA